TATTATAGTTCATAATTATATATGTCATGTGTTTGATTTTCTTTAATTTTAAAAATAATTCAAAATATTGATTTTTTATACAATTTAAAAAATACTTAAGGAATTTAGATGAAAAAGGATATTTTTTTTTTAATAAAAAGATAGCATGTGCTAATTAAATATGATAAAATATGACAAAATTCTTAAAATTGATTCGGTACATAATTGTATAAATTACATTAAAATCGACATATTAATCACTATTGGTTCTTATTAGTATTAAAACTATAATTAATAAGCATTAAAATCTGGAAAAAATAAATATATAAAAAACATATTAATAATTGCAAGAAAAAAATATCTATGTACATTATATATTACATTTATTTTAATATTATTTATATTTATTTAATGGGAACGATAATTGATTGATTGATTAAATTTCTATTATAAAAGAAAATATTTTTAATTTATATATAATATCTTGCTATATTTATCACAATAATTTTTGTTTGAAAATGAAATAATAACTATTTCACTTCAATTTAACTAAGTACTTCAATTTAAGTTCAATATAAAAAAATTCAATTCAATAATTTCATTTTTATTATTGTTTAAATATTGTTTTAATAATTACAATAAATAATAATATATATAATTTTTTTAATACATATGTATTTAAAAAATTAGATGAAAGTTTCTGTTATTAAAGTTATTTTTTATTAAAAATAATTTAAAAATTAAACATTATTTAAAGTATATGTGTATTTGAGTCGTGTATATTGCTTCACAGGAAATGTGTCAAATGACGTTTACGACGAGAACCGGTTTTACGAAAGCTCTCGGATCTCGCGCATTCCTACGAGGATATAGTCCTGTTGATGCAAAGAAATTCATTTTATTCTCCTCTTTTTCGATTCAATTTATTGAAATATATTATTGAGTAACGTCCATAATTTTATTGTTTCTTGTTTATATTGATTTAAATACATAATTTAAATTATGTACAAATCTATAAATGAATAAAAATCACAATATAATATTTTTAAGAACTAATTTCTTATACAAAAGTTGAATTTATTCGAAAAAACATGATATATAGCTTTGACATATGTATATATTGTCTACGCACAGCGTCCGAGGACGAAAACACAAATCCGATTGTTTTTAGTTATATAGTAATTTTTATTTTCTTAATAAATTTAAGAATTGTAACGTATGGAAAGTATTTTACTAATTATAAATTAAATTAATTTAATTAATAAAACGAAAATATATAAAATATAATTAAAGAAAATTAGTAAAAAGCATGAAAGGATAAACATCGAATGTACTACATTATGACACGAACCTGGAATTTGTACACAATGTTGTTCATCGTAGTGCATAGTTCATGATGGCTGAACCGTATTGCAATCGTGTCCGCGAGATCTATTTCGAACACGACGTAGCAAGTTTTCTCGGTGACCTAGTGGCGTGAATAGAACTCGTTGTCAAGCGCGTCCTTTCGAAACTGTCTAGCGAAAACTTGGACAGACACGAGGTCTAGTTTTCTTCTGCCACTAGGTCGTTGTGCTTAATCATTTCAAATGGAAACGTATGAGATCATACATGTTCCAAAATATAATAAATTGATTGTGTGGAATTGCACACAGTTACTGAGCAATTCATGTTTCAAATGAATTGAACATTTATAATCAAACTAATAACATTTATATTAAACATGTCTATCTATATTATATTAAAATTTATATTGTAATAGTACAAAGTATAGTACAATGAAGGCAATTTATTTTATTTTTTTTATCTATTTCTAAGATTTTAAAGCTATTAAAAAAATATTGTTATTATTTTATTTTATTTTTAATTGTTTTTGTATAGATATTAAATCTTTTAACTAATTAATTAGTAGTTAATTAGTAGTAATTAGTAGTAGTTTTAATTAAATTAAATTTAAAAATAAATTGAAATCTTGCTCTTTTTAAAATTTGTTGTTGAGTGAACTTTCAAGAGTTGCCAATATTTTGATTTTTGTCTGTTCATTTTCGTCATTCATTAGTAACTCTCTGCTCTGAAATTTCTTGCACTTGACCTGACCTGTTTACAAGTATTCAAAAGATTAAAGCGCAATCGTTAATCTACTATAAGAAGATATATAAATAATATATTTTTTATGTCTATATATGTATCAAAGAGTTTACTAAAGATGAATTAATTAATTAATTTAATTTTTATTTATTATATAACAGTGTTTGATATATTCTTTCTCTTTTTTTTTTGCGTCAAGGATGTCTCAGATATGATATAAGCAGATAATAAATGATTTTATGTAAAAATGAAACAAAAATAAGAATAAAATTTGAAAAATTTTCAAATACAAATAAATTTTATTAATTTTCAGTTGGAAATATATATATTGAAAAACTATTGCTAGAAATTATTTATACATATAAAAATAAATGAAAAATGTAGAATTTTCTTTTTTAAAAATTAATTTTTAAGGAAATCAAAATTGAAAATTCATTGAGTAAACTATCGAATTATTGACGATTTGAATAAATTTTAACTATATATGTTCAATTTCAATTACATAATAACATATTTTCAATTTTTTAATGTATGAATTATTATATATGTGTAAAGAGATACGTATATATGTATGTGTACCTATGTTATCTTTTTTCTTTTCGCTTGTATATGCAATATATGGTATATATATTTACTTCTTGAATATTTCGACATATATTTAATATTTCAAAATTAAAATATGACGTTTATATATTTTTGAATATATCAATAATCACATTCATACAACCAAATAACGTTAATTTCAGTTTTTTTTTTATAATATAATTTGTAAAATCAATAGTTATATTTTAATAATTCATGATATTT